GCTTACGTACAAGAGCTAAAAAGTTTTTAATCAGAAAAGTAATAAAAACTCGGCCTAAAAACTGAATCGTCGCATAACTACGCAGGGGAAAAATTGGAAGTGCGTCGTAGCGTCGTAGTCACCCCTGCAGCGTCGGTCGTAGCAAGCTGTGGCTACGACGTGACGTAACTTTAAAGAGGGTGACTTTATTTTGGTTCTTATGGTACAAGTAATAAAGTTCATTATTTTAAGAAAAAAAATGTTGAAAACTGTATGAAGTCAATTGAGAAAAAAATACAATAATGTTATTATTCGGATAATCCTACTATAATATTATAAATGTGAAAGTCTGTGTGTTTTGTATGTTTGTTACTCCATAACGCTTAAACGGCAGAAACGATTTGGATGCACACAAAGTTTCTTATCTGAATTAAGACATAAGATACTTTTTGACACGATTTTCTTAGGTATCTAATCTGAGGGCTTCTTAAAAAACTAAGTCGGAGGCACATGATATATTAAAAAAATAAAAATGTGATTTTAATATCAGTATTATTTTGTTAGTAAATTAAAACTTTAATTGTTAAGTAAAACCACTAACTGAATTAAATTAATAACGTGTGACATTATTGTTAAATGACCTCTGTTTGACTTTGAGACACAGTGAACAATAGCAATTAAAACAATGGTACCTAGCTATTATATATTAAACATTCGTTAGCGGTCGTAAATGTAATTAAAAAAGTTTGTTGAAATATTGTATTTTTTTTTACTGTCGTCTATTCCAAGTATTCGTCTGATAATACACGACCACACTCAGAGACTATTCTATTTCATAAATTCCTGAAAGAAACAAGTCTAATTTAGTTCATAATATAGCAGAGCTTATATGTCTTGTCGTCTTAAAATTATGACTTTTGATTTTGATTAAAGAGGGTTTTGGTTTTCTGTTGCGATCACAAAAAATATTTAACACTAGCTGTGCCCCGCAGTGTTACCCAAGGTTTTTAGTGATATTTACCCGCAGTAAAACGTAGCCTATGTGTTAATCCAGGGTGTCAGCTAACTCCATACCAAATTTTATTTAAATCTCTAAATCCGTTTAGACGTTAAGAAGTCACAAACACACACACTGACAAACTTTCGCCTTTATAATATTAATGTGATAACAGTAGTCACTGACGTCTCTTGAGTGTATATGACGTAAACTTTTACTGATTCAAATTTGATTGTAATTTTCATATTTTTTCCTGATTGAAGGCTGCATGATATGGTCCCATCAGCCATCTATGAAACCGTAGTTTCATAAGTGGTTTCGATGTAGGAATAATTCTTCCTTGTATGTAACTAATTTCGTTAGATAAATTGTTCTTCTTCGTACAAAGCCATGGTTACGTATAAAGAATTATAGCAATTATATAAAAGTTCATTAGTAATGTGTAAAGAACAATAATTCCTTCATCGAAATAAGCGATGTAAGTCAAGACATGCATAAAAGTGGGATTAAAAAGACTACACATTATATAGAAATGGAGATACGAATAGGTTTAGGAGTCTATAAATGAATTAAAAGAAGATAAAATTACTGTAGGCTAGGCTACTGCCTAAAAATCATATGGCCGTATTTTTAAAAGTATTTTCTTAATTTGTTAGGCTGGTTGGTACTATCGTTAGGCAATCATATTGCAAAATTAATTTGTTTATTGGAGCGTATGAGTCACGACTCTCATAGTTTTGTTCAGTAACAATTGCCCGATTTATATTAATTTTTATATGCATATTCAGTAGGTTTGACAATCGGCTACTGTCAATTTTCATACCTGTAAGTGATAAGGGTTAACCACTAATAAGATTTTTATTTTATTTTTTATTTATTTATTTTTAAAAGGTGGCATTAAAAAATACATAAAAATTTAAATTTTCACCCTTCTACCACCAGCCCCTCTTTATATGGCGGTACGAAGTTCGCTGGGTCAGCTAGTACCTAATATGTAAATACTTAAAAAAATATCGTTGTTCAACACTTTATAAAAATTCGAGAATATCTCACTATTCATTCAACATGGAAAGTTTCTGCCCCAGCAGGGGGCTAGTAATAATCTCAAATATGATTGCTCTGCTTGCTCAAGTTGATACACAGGGCTTTATATCTGTTTCGCCTTCTTGCCAGGATTAACTTTAATAAAAGTACGTAATAAAGACTTGGCAAACCTAGAATATTTTCAATTTTTATTATCCTGTTTCTAGTATGTATCTGTGTGTGCGTGTTCTATGATTTGGTATCTAAAATATAAGATTAGCTTTTACTAGCTTTGTACCCCTTAAGTAGAAGGTCAAAGGTCGATTCTATCCTATGTCTGCCTTATCTTCATAAATTTATGAGTTGCGTGTTGATTGTGAGCCTGCCTATGAAGCACTGTGTGCCATAATTTTCTGAATTTATTTGTAAAGCTTTATGAAAATAATGTTAAAGATTGACGTTTGTCATGGGTTTTGATATACTCAGCTTTACATCTGTTTTGCCTTCTTGCCAGGATTAACTTTAATAAAAGTACGTAATATAGACTTCGCAAACCTAGAATATTTTCAATTTTTGTTATCCTATTGCTATTATGTATCTGTGTGTGCGTGTTCTATGATTTGGTATCTAAATATAAGCTTTTACTAGCTTTATACCTTTTAAGTAGAAGGTCAAAGGTCGATTCTATCCTATGTCTGCCTTATCCTCATAAATTTATGAGTTGTGTGTTGATTGCGAGACTACCTATGAAGCACTGTGTGCCATAATTTCAGGAATTTATTTGTAAAGCTTTATAAAAATAATGTTAAAGATTGACTTTTGTCATGGGTTCCTTCTATCTGGCAATATAATTATAGCTTAGCCGCATGTTTCTGTGTCCGAATTCACAATGGCATACTTCTAAGATTGCGGAATTTAATTATGCATAATTACCTTTTTCAAAATTTCATTCGGCATGTTTCATAAGAGCATAAAGTTTATTTATGATAGTGCATTAGGTTAGGTCAGTGCCGTGACCTTAACTTCACAGTGTAGCTACGCATGTTACCGAGTTGTATTCTAGATTTAACTTAATTTTAGAATACATAATAGCCTACCGTGTCACCATTAATGGGATAGATTATGCTTATACGAATAACTCTTTCCTAGTTTCGTGATCGCAAAACTTACAGCTTTTTAGTATCTTAGTTTTTGTATGTGTAACAGTCATTGCGGCAAGTACGAAAGCGGCTTTTGATTGGCGTGGTGACGCTTTGTGGCAAATATCATAAACTTTAAACAAGCAAGCAGCAACTTAAAAAGTAAGCTTATTCTATAAACTAAGTATATTTGGTTTTTTCACCACAAAAAACCGGCCAAGTGCGAGTGGGACTCGTGCACCGAGGGTTCCGTACAAACCTGAATGTTCAAAAATATTTTTTATTCTATGATGTAACTAAAAATTTACGGTTTTAGCAATTTTTCGTTAGACGACGTTACTTCGTACCAAATTTCAAGATTCTAATTTCACGGGCCCTGCAGGTTTTGATTCCCGTGCGTGTTTCGGAAATTTGTGGCATAAACGGCTGCATCTTTTGATTGCTTTGGCTTAGAAGTTTGTTTGTTTCACAGCTCCAAGGGACAGTAGACCTGAGCATCAGATATGAATTTTAGTTTGATACATCCACGCGTTCCTGAGAAAAACAGTCTTGACAGACAGACGGACGGACGGACAACAAAGTTAGGATCACTTTGTTGCCCGTCCGTAAGGGTTCCGTTTTTTCCTTTTGAGGTACGGAACCCTAAAAGTAGCTATGCACTTTTCTTAGCCCTCTTTTATCTGCATATCGAAATTTGTCAAGATCGGTTTAGCGGTTTAGTCCAAAGACAGTCAGACAGACAGAGAGAGTACTTAGCAGTACGACTGGAATTGAGTTTCCATTTCACGTTCACGTTTTAAAATCTGTTTATTCGAAACATGCCTATAAAAATATTTTGATTTTCTTCTATCTATAGCCATTCATTCGTTCAACCATCCAAAATATCGGTGATCGGAAATGTTATGTAAGCTTTTGCAAGATTAACCTACCATTCAGCCACAGAAATTTCACACAGCCAAAAGATTCACCTGCTGTATCCTGCCAATCAAATTGCTAAAAGTCAATTTAAAAGAAAAAAAAAGGAAACCCATTTTAAATATTCAAAGTGAGCAAACACTATTTGATACGTTGACTAGCAACGACATCTTTTGACCCGGCTCGCCGGGTCGTCAGTCGTGGGCGTCACCCGGACCCGGGTACTACCGGTAGTACAATGAACTGCACAATAACCTTCCCACTTCACCATACGTAAGAGCTCTTACTCAACACCAGTGCCTATATAGTAAACTTCCACCAGCATTGTATGTTGTATTATTATTATACATCGACAATGCACGACGGTATCTGTTTTGTTAAATAATTTTCAATCTTAAGAAATGTTAAAGAAGCTGCGATGATCTCAATTTTTCTTCTCTCGTAGAAGCTAACTTTTAGATTAAAGATGACAAATTTTATCTTTTGGCAATCATACCTTAGTTAAATATTTAAATCCACTAATAAAATAAATCTAATAAAATGAATATAATATTAGCACCTACTAAAAAACTAAATTAAACTAACAATAACGTTAAGTAATACAAAAATTTAGTTCCTACTATACAAAAAATATCTCAGATATTTTAAGGACAATTGTACGTGTATTAAATAGAAACTAATAGAACAATAAAAAATATTTCACTTTTAAACAAACACGAGAAAAGCAGTAACATCCAGCTGCCGGACCCATTTTGTGACTACAATCACGTAACAGCTGGACCGAAATTGAAGCGCTCAAGCTAAGTCGAAACCCGAAAACTCATTGACTAAATGCACCGACTCGGATATGAACAAAAACGTCCTTGACTGCGTGTACCTACCCGGATATCCAAAAATATAACGCCACCCACGCAAAAATGTAGGAACACAAAAAGATGTTTACTTACAGAAAAGTGGTTGGAAGGGGGGGCCGCCGATTTTTCCTAACACCAGTACATTGACAAAGGAAACCGTATTATTTCTGTCTGCGTTTCAGCGGTGCTCTCGCCCCGACCCGACGGTTTCAACTGAAGGGCGGAGTGGGCGGAGCTGCTCATAGTGCCGTACAGTATTATATCGATATCGAATCACTGGCATCACACACGGTGCACGTGAACTCTCGTTTTATCGGAGCAATTATGCAATAAGTTCGTCCTTGTAATGATGTATGCATAGGTATTTTCCAGTATTTGTGCGTTTGATTGATATTGGTGGATTTTTCTTCAAAACCACGAATAAATAGCGACTCTTGTTACAAATTTACAACTAACCGCATTCAATTAATGTTCATAGCTACAATAAACGTATATCAAAAGGTGATTTATTGAAAATCATTGAAAATATCTTACTCCGACATCTACTATTACAGTGTCGCCATTAGCGTTTCATAATTACTTTTACAATGATTGATATTTGATATGATAGGTTTCATTTTTTTACTTTTCCCCAAAGTTTTTATCTTAGAACAAAAATCAGGCTTCGTGAAAACCATTTGTTTATAAACATGGCGAGGGTCACGTACGCCGGCCGGCATCGGCTGTCTAAAACTCTGCAACACAAAAGTATCGATATAATTTATCGATAGCACACTCTAGCAGCAATATCGATCGGCGCTACATCCAACACCGTCACACAACTAAATTCTGTTACTAACTATATGACCAAAGCAGTAATGTAGAGCGAAACTTTCCTATATTGGATGTACCGCTTATGAGCACAGTACGCCTACAGAGCGTTTTACGCAGGTTTCTGCTTATCGCGTTTGCAACTAAGAATAAATTTCAGTGCAGGCAGCCTGTTAAAATTGTTTAAATAGTGAGATAAAAGTAGTCTCCTTCCTTTTACGGGGGGGAAAAACATAGAACGAGAAATCATTAATAAGTTAACAATAGACTGTTGATAACTTTTGCTTTCAAATAGAAAAATTGAAGTGTCTTCAGAAACGGGGGGTGTGTACATTTCCAGATAATAATCCTAACTAATATTATAAATGCGAAAGTGAGTTGTTTCTTTGTTTGTCACTCAATCACGGAAAAACAGCGGAACGAATTTGGATGAAATTTGGCACACATAATAGTTTATCTACATTGAGACATTTTTTTTTTTTTTTTTTTTTTTTTTTTTTTTTTTTTTTGTGACGAGGGGAAATGCAGTTACGCACCATACCGTGACGCTGACTAGGCGCACGGCGTGTGTGGGACTCGCCGGCACGGGAAACAGTGCCGACCCTACTCAAGCAGGACCAGTGCGGAAGGCCACACTGATCCTACTCCACTAAAACCCCCCGGTACCCTCCTACGCCCTTTTGGGGGCGTCTCGGGGCCGACGCACCTGCGTGCGCCACAACTCCGAGCCCGCCCCCGGGCAGGCCCGGCCCAACGAGTGGACCGGGCGACGCGCCTCAGGGGGACTGCGCTAGGGTACTAGGCAGTCCCCAGACGTGGTGGCCTATGCCGGAGCGGCACCTAGGGCGCGCGGCTGGTCAGGCCGCGCCCAGGCCACCTTAGGGCTGTCGAAGACCGGCAGTCACAGCTGCCTGCCTTCTTCGGCCCACCCGTCTACGCCGGAGAGGGGCGGCTAGAGCGTCCTCCTCCCGCTCCCTCTCCGCTGCCTCCTTCTGCGCCATCACAGATTCGCAGAAGGAGGCGGCAGCCCTCCAGGCTCTCTCGCTACCAAGCATGGCTCTTACCATACTTGGCAGCGTGAGGCCTCCTCCGCCGAGCGCCGCGATCAGATCGCGGCGCTCATTTCGCCAGGCCGGGCACACGATCAACGTGTGCTCGGCCGTGTCGTCGGGAGAGGCGCAGTGATGACACCGCGGCGTCTCCTCCCGACGGGCGACTCGGTGCAGGTAGTGACCGAAGCACCCATGTCCGGTCAGTACCTGCACCAGGCGGTAGGTGAGGGTGCCCCGCTGGCGCCCTACCCACTCCTCCAACACCGGACGAATCGCCTCGATCGTCCGGTGGCCAGCGGCTGGGTTGGCGAGTGCCTCCACCCATCGGCGCAGAGCCTCCCCCTGCGCCTCGGTGCGGACCCGTTCTACCTCCTCTAGAACGGGTCGCTCGCCCCGCTCTCTCGCCGCGACCCGGTGTTGATGCACCTGGGACAGTACCAGGGCATCAACCTCCCACGGGAGCGTACCTGCTAGGACGCAGGCAGCCCCGTGGCTGACCGTGCGGTAAGCCCGCACGGCCCGGGTCGCGATGACCCTCTGCGGTCTTCGCAAGAGGGCCCTCGTGCGGGACGAGAGGCACTCAGCCCAGACCGGGGCTCCGTACAGCGCCATCGACTTTATCACAGAGTGATAAAGCCGACGGCACTTCGCCTTCGGCCCCCCCACATTGGGGAGGAGGCGACCGAGTCCGGCTGCGACGCCGCACAGCCGGGGAGCGAGGAGCCTAAAATGCTCCTCCCAGCTCCATCGGGGGTCTAGGGTCAGGCCGAGATACTTAAGGTGCATCTCGACCGGAACCCACACCCCCTCTACCCGGGCACGGAGCCCCGGCGGGGTCCTGCGTCTGGGACCGTGGAAGGCCATGGCCCTCGTCTTTTCGAGGGCCACTTCCAGTCCCAGGAGGCGGATGCGTCGGACGACCATGGAGGTGCCGACCGACGCAAGGCGGACCGCCTCCTCCCACTCTCTCGCTCTCGCCGCTACTAGGGTGTCGTCCGCAAAGCAGACGACATCCATGCGCGGCAAGAGCTCACCCCGCAGGACCCAGTTGTACCCCAGGTTCCATAGGAGGGGACCTAATACGGAACCCTGGGGTACGCCTGCCTTCACTGGCCACGATTGGACGCAGCCCTCCGCATCCTCGTACAGGACTGACCTGTCTCGCAGGTAGTCCCGGACGAGGGTGCGGAGGTAGAGTGGCACTCGATGGAACTCGAGCGCCGCCTCTATGCACTCGTGGGGGATGGTGTTGAATGCGTTCGCGATGTCCAAGGACACCGCGATCACCACCTCCCCCCGAGCTGTGGCCGCCTCAGTCCACCTCTTGAGACGGCCAACCGCGTCTATCGTGGACCGGCCGGATCGGAAGCCGAACTGGCAGTCCGCCAGGTCCGGCCCCTCACCCTCGATGTGCTCGATGATCCGGGAGGCGAGAATCTTCTCAAAAGCCTTCCCGGACTCATCGAGCAACACCACCGGCCGGTAGCCCGCTGGGGAGTCTGCCGGGCGGCCTTCCTTGCGGAGAAGGCAAAGCCGCCCCACTCTCCAGCGCCTGGGAAAGCGACCCGTCGCGATGCATGTGTCGAGCACCGCGCGGAATCGCTCTCCCAGGGGGCCCAAGGCAATGGCCATTACCTTGGCCGGGGCCCCGTCCGGCCCCGGAGCTTTATTGCGGCTCCGGAGCCGGTCCCTCACCGTGTCTAGTTCTGCATCAGACACGGGGGGACCAGCTGCCCACGCCCCCGGAGCAGAACCGGGGGGCAGCATCCTGGGGGGTTCGAAGGGCCCGGGGTCTGGAAAAAGTGTCCCCAGCACCCTTCTCACCAGCGCAGGCTCCATCTCAGACGTGGAGGGGGCCGCCGAAGCGAACTTCCCCCTCACCGTCCGGTACGGCCTCCCCCAGGGGTCGCTGTCCAGGGTGGCCAGAAACTCATCCCAGGCAGCGACCTTGGCCCTGCAAATGGCGACACGCAGAGCCGTATGGGCCTCGTTGTACGCCCGGCGGAGGACCTCCTCTTCGCCGGGCGCTCGTCTGGCGCGCCTACGGCATCTTTGGTAGGCGCGCCTGGCCCTCATACTGGCGGTACGCAAGATCGTGAGTTCCTGCGTCCAATCTACATTGAGACATAGGATACTTTATCCTTCTTTATTTATCGGATTAAATGTAAGGTTCTTGAAGGATTCTCAAAAAAAGTTAAGTGCCCTTTCACATTTATTGCAACAAAATGTAATTTTTGAGCGCCTCGTTTACCCTCTTCGATAAGATTTTGACTAATTCCAATAGAAGTAAACAGTAGATTTATTCTTTTTATTGTAAGTAAATGTAGAATATTTGTAAATTCTATTTTCCTTTTTTTATACTGATCGTTCTACCGCAGCTAGTTTACGGAAAATACGATAATATGCACAACTTCAAACGCCTCAATCTCTCAATAATGTTCAATAAATTAGATCAAATTTATTACGACGACATCAGAAATATGTTTTTGTTGTAACATAATCTATTAGAATTTTGATTTTCTATTTCATTAATTATCAAAAAAAAACATCTATACTCCGTGAGTTTTCCCAAAAAATAATGCAGTTTATCTTTTATTTTGATATTGAATTAAATAGAATTACTATCAAAAACTTCCATAAAAGTAATCTACAATCATTGAACTACTGAAATATGTATATATTTTTATAATTAGTTCATTAATAATTATTTTATAAGACTCGAAACAACACCCGTAAAATGCAATATATACTAGTGCAAATCTACCTACGCGCCTATCAGTACGGCAGCGGCGCAATTTTGTAAAAGAGCTCTTAACGCGGACGAAATCGCAGGAAAGTAAGTAGTTTATTTTAAGTAAATATTATATAAAACAATAAAAAAGGAAGCCATTATTTCTCAAACGAACGTGAAGGAAAATTAACAATACTAAGCCTTACAAAAATCTCTACTAAATATTTAAACATCGCAATGTATGTAAATAATATGCTTTGTAAAACAAAATATGCTTTGTAACAATAGAATAACTACCTCGACTCTCGGAGGCGTAGGGAGGTACTTTCTACACAAACTCTAGTCATTTAAATAAAGCAGCACTGTACTAAGTTTTACACAAAGTAAGTACAATTTCAAAGTTTACACTTGTTACGAACAAGTGTTAGGTTTTTGCATAAAAAACAGGGTTGTGAACACAAAGCTTAATTAAAAAATATGGACGTATTTTTGAAATCTGTTGAAAATGTATTCCAATATATTATAATTCAATCCAGCAGAGCTATTCTGTAAGAATAAACTCAGTTTTCACCGCGGAATTTGCCAGTATGATTTAAAAAAATATTAAAAACTGGTGGGGTAAGTGGGTTTCCGAGACTTCGTCCTTTAATTTTTTATCCATTCTTCGTTTTCATCAATCTAAGAACTAAATTTATAATTTCTTTAGATAAATATTCGTACCAAGCTTAAAGTCTCTCAAAGATTTTTAAACAAAATTTCATCCCCGTTTTTACCTTC